TATGGCTATGTGCTACGGTTTTGGCGTTTAAAGGTCGTTTGCATTTTGACCTCATCAGCTACTTTGCGAGACATTCGCAACATCAGTTAAGAATTGTTTGCAGTCAGTCATCCTAATTAACATGAAATGCTAAGCATTCACTTCAACGTGGGGAAAACGAGTGGAAGAAACAACACACACACATACACACACAAAAGCTGTGCTCTTTGAAGTATGAATCCAGACATTGATGGTTATTTATGCTTTAGTCGAAATCTAGATAAGGTTACCTTTGGATTTGACATATTTGCAATCACCTAAACGGGTGAGTATTAATAGAAATATTAATATAATTTGCGCCTGCTGAAGAGTTACTTAAGTTGCTCGTTAAAAGCTTTTCTTAGTGTTTGCTTTAAGTGTTTTCTCTAAGAATTTCTTCTAAGTATTTCCTCTAATAATTTCCTCTCAGAATATCCTCCAATAATTTCCTCCAAGTCTGTAATGCTTTGCAGAACGATCACGCAATTCACTGCACTGCACAACTGACCCCCACCAGGCCTGGGCGACTGAAGAAATGCTGCAGCTGCTGCCCTTTATATACACTCATACACGAAGACGCGCTCAAATGTTAAGCCTGGCGCCAGGTAGAGGTCGTTTCAGTCGAGCATTAATTGACCAATGGGAGCTCTCGCTGCGGCTGCAAGCATTCTAGCTTCGTGTTGCTCAAATATAAATACGAAATGAAGACTGCCGCACACATATAAACAACTCGAATGATCTTCGTTAATCAGGCGGATAGTGAGATGAAGGCGCAGGCTGGGAGATAGACAGAGAGAGACATATATACAGACAGGCATACGAAGAGGTAATCGAGCGAACGATGTTCGTGAAAAGAGCGTCACACGAATAGTTGAACACAAATTAAAAACGAAAAGAAACTGAATGCTCTCGCTCAAGGTGAGAGCGAGATAGCATGATTGCTTCGGCTGACTTCACGAACAGAGCGTAAAGGAATAAAGCACTCGACTCTAATGGCCAGCTGTAGGTAATAATAATTGAATTAAATTAAAATTGAATGATTAGTAATAATTAATGTAAAATAATGAAACAATAAAAAAAAATATAATAATAACTAATAAAAAATATATATATTTAAATATATTAAGCTTAAATTGTTTGCATTGATTAACATTAAACTAAAATCTGAAGCCAACCTGCTTGCTTTCAAAAACTTGTCTATGAATTAAGTCTCAGCATGCATTAAGCAGTCAAGTCAAAAGTGAAGAAGATTCCCAGCTACAGCAACAGCTGCTTAGTTTTCCGCTACGAAAAGCTCGGAATTAGTGAATGCTCTTAATTAATAATCAAATAATGTTCGACATGTGATGTGATAAAACACGCGACATGCCCTGCAGGGGGAACTAGGAGGCGGGGAACTGGGAACAGGGAACCAGAAAGCAGGAAACTGGGCAACTGGGTAACTGTGTGGCAAAACAAATGGCAAATGCTTAACAAGCACTTACCATTTACAGCTTTGCCATTGCTGATCATTAATTTGCGGACGACGAGAGCGAGAGCATCGAAACAATGCTCCAAATCGTGTTTATCCACTGTAGCGCCTTTAACTTTTATTGGTCTTTAGCTGCGCCAAGCGCAAGCACCACCCAGGGGCTGTTCGACTGCTGGCTGTTGTGTGGTTGGGTGGTTGGCTGGGTCGTTGGGTGAGATGTGCGATGCGAGATGTGGTAAAATGTAAGAAAAACAACAATCAACACCATTTGCCGCTACAAATTAAGCTTCGAGCAAACAAATCGCGCTGAATTCTCTCTAAGACTTTCGCATTTCAGTTCTGTTTGTTCGTGTTGCTCTATGTGGGAGTGTCTTGTCTGCGGCCCCACCCACTCGGCGTTTGGGTGGGTGAGTTGGCTTGCCCTGTGGCGAATTCGTGTTTCTACGAAAATATTTTCGACAGCATTCGATGTGTACTACGTGTATTTATAGCGCACGGTGCTTAATCAAATGCCGTTGGCTTGGCTACGCTGCGTATACTTAATTTCAGTTTTGTTTCACTGGCCCAGAGCGTGAATTTGTTTCCTGCTGGAAGCCGAAAGCTGCAGCTAATTAAGCAATGACTGAAAAATGTTTATTTAAATTGCTTAGTGTGGGCTCCATTAAGTGATTAACATTTCATTTAAGTGAATTGTGAGCGTGAGTGTGTGAGTGCGGCAGTTAGATTAATTTATTATTGGCTATTGGGGCAGCATGTGAATGGCTATTGAGTTTTTTTGCTTGGCTATAGTAATAAAAAAATATATAAAAATAAATATATATTTAATGACCCTCTTCTGAATGCTGCTTGAATTGGAAAAATTGCAAATTAATTTACTGAATAGCTTACACTAATATTATTGTGTATGCTCGAGTCGATTGGCTTGTTTAGTGTTTCCTGCGTGAGTTTTCAAGTGTCGTAAATATTACAATGTAAATTAGTTGCTGAAATCACGCAGAATTGCTGATTTGGCAAATTCCGATTGGCCTTGAGCAGGCGAAACAAACTTTGATATCTATAACAACATTTAAGCCTTTCTCTCTTTCTTTTTCATCGAAGAGCAAAGGAATACTATTTGGCTGTGCTTTAAATTAAGATGTAAACATTTGTCATCAGTTTATATAAATATAATGTTTATTAGTTATTTTTATTCTTTCTTATTTTTTTAAAGTCCAAACTTTTCTTAATATAATATAATATAATATAAAGTAATATAATATAATGTTTCATATATTCCCTATTCAGACTTCTGTTCAAATGTCACATCATCTTGATTTTCTCATCTTCACTCTCTCAATCTGCTTAGTAAAACTTATCTTTCAGCAATATAACTGTCATCTGTTTATCGTATCAATATCTTTAGCTTTAATGAAACATTATTTGAGCACTTGCGGCTGGCTAATGAAAACGATAATCGCAATTCAATTAAAAACTTGAAAAATGTGATTTTGATGATGATTTGATTATTTTATTATTTTATCCGTGAAGAGCAATTGAGAACGATTCATTGACAATTATTGTTAAATTGAATTTCTCACCTCTTTTTTGCCATTTATTATAATTCGTTTAGCGAAACGTGCGCTATCGAAACGCCCGCAGGTGTATTCAAACTACGTGAAAATAGTTTAAAATAATTCTATATAGATATCTCGATGTTGTTGTAATTCTATTAATTTGGCAAATTTATTTATATGGCATTGCGGATTTGCCAACGTGTTTGGGGATTGTCTATGGCTCGGGCTCTCTCTCTCTCTCTCTCTCTCTTGCTGGCTGTGTGGCTGCGGCACGTGTTTAATCCTACTAAGTATGCCGTCAAAAATGCTGTACACTGTAGCCAGGCCAGGTCAGAGAGGACGGACGTCGCCAGTTGTCATAAAATGTTAAATACAAATTTATGGCAGACAATGCGCCTCTGGCATACTAAGCGTTAGCATCGGGCAGGAGAGAGAGGGAGAGAGAGAGCTCGGCGTGCGGCGTGCGGCATGAGGCGAGTGGTGGAGAACCGCACCTAAACGCATTAGCAAAATGAAGCTGTTTCGATAGACATTACAACAATGCTAGATATTCGCTCCATTGTTATTATTTTGTTTCTGTCCCACATTTGCTGCCATCAAATGTTTTGCCACGCGCTGAGCTGACAAAATTCGGCCAGCAGCTGCTTCTGGCCCCATTCAAATGGGGCTTATAAATGGGTGCTTATAATTCTTGTTAACGTGATTACATTGAAGGTGCTTTAATGGCACTACACCCAACTAGATTGTTGCAGCTGGAGTACACGTACACACACACACACACACACACATACACATACACATACACACAGGTGTTCAGCAAGCCGATTTTAAGGAAACGGGGCTTTTCGAAAAAAGGGGAAATTATAATAATAGTAGTAGAAGTAGTAGTAGTAATAGTAGTCGAGGAGTGGTAATAGTAGTAGTAGTAGTAGTTGAAGAGTAATAGTAGTAGTAGTAGTAGTAGTTGAAGAGTAATAGTAGTAGTAGTAGTAGTTGAGGAGTAATAGTAGTAGTAGTAGTAGTTGAAGAGTAATAGTAGTAGTAGTAGTAGTTGAAGAGTAATAGTAGTAGTAGTAGTAGTAGTTGAGGAGTAATAGTCGTAGAAGTAGTAATAGTAGTTGAGGAGTAATAGTCGTAGAAGTAGTAATAGTAGTAGAAGTAGTAGTAGTAGTTGTAATAATAGTAGATGACGTAGTAATAGTAATAGTAGCTGTAGGAGTAGAAGTCCTAGTAGTAGAAATAACTATAGTAGAAGAAGTAGTAGTAGTTGTAGGAGTAAAAGTCCTAGTAGTAGTAATTTAATAATAGTAGTAAAAGTAGTAGTTGTAATAATAGTAGTAGAAGTAGAAGTAGTAGTGGTAGTAGTAGTTGTAGGAGTAGAAGTCCTAGTAGTAGTAATTTAATAATAGTAGTAAAAGTAGTAGTTGTAATAATAGTAGTAGATGTAGTAGTAGTAGTTGTAATAATAGTAGATGAAGTAGTAATAGTAATAGTAGCTGTAGGAGTAGAAGTCCTAGTAGTAGAAATAATTGTAGTAGTAGTTGTAGGAGTAAAAGTCCCAATAGTAGTAATTTAATAATAGTAGTAAAAGTAGTAGTTTTAATAATAGTAGTAGAAGTAGTAGTAGTTGTTGTAATAATTGTCGTACAAGTTGTTGCAGTAGTTGTAATAATAGTAGTAGAAGCAGTAGTTGTAATAAGAGTTGTAGCAGTAGTAGTAAATATATTAAAAATAATGGTAATAGAAATAGTAGTAGTAGCAATATTAATAATCTTATTAGTATTTAAAAGTCTTAGCAGTAGTAGTAGCTATAACAAGAATAGTATTAAAAGTAGTAGTATATTCCTCAAGTAAGACGTGTTCCTCCTTTTCATTATGTTCTCCCCCCAATATTATTAATAAGAACTGAGTAAACATAAATGATTTGATTTACACACAAAATAAAATTGAAAAACATTTCGCTTCACACATTAGATAATACAATTTGTTTCCAATGAAATTTTAGCAACAACACAAATACATATTTACAGCTACACATATACACATTTACAACTATGCCTGGCTATGATGGAGCCGTGACGATCTACTCGCCCGATGGGCACTTGCTGCAGGTGGAGTACGCTCAGGAGGCGGTGCGCAAGGGCTCTACAGTGGCAAGTTGCGAATGAAAACAAATTACTTTACTTGGCTCATTTGAGTGCTTTGGCTCCACTGTGCAGGTGGGCTTGCGCACCAAAGACGCCATTGTGCTGGGCGTCGAGAGGAAGGCGGTGGATGCGCTGCAAGTGGAGCGAACGGCGCGTAAAATTCGCAAGCTGGACGATCATCTGGTAGTGACATTCGCCGGGCTGACAGCCGACGCACGCATCCTGCTGAACCGCGCCCAGAGCGAGGCACAGAGCCATCGCCTCAACTTTGAGCAGCCCGCCACGGTGGAGTACATAACACGGTGAGTGATTAGGGAGATAGATAGATAGAGAGAAAGAGAGAGAGAGAGAGTGAGTGAGAGCGAGAGCTGTCTGGCTTTTCAGATATCTCGCCAAATTGAAGCAGAGCTATACACAAAGCAATGGCAGGCGTCCGTTCGGCGTCTCCTGTCTGATAGGCGGCTTTGATGCGGACGGCAAGCCGCGTTTGTTCCAGACGGAGCCCTCTGGCATCTACTACGAGTGGTCGGCCAATACCACCGGGCGGCTGGGCAAGCCGATGCGTGACTATTTGGAGGTGAATGCGCCGGCGATGAGCAGCTCGCCGGACGATGCCACCGCCATCAAGCATGTGGTGCGTGCCCTGCACATTGCCACGGCGCTGAATGCCAGCTTCTATGAGGTGGCGGTGCTCAAGCATCAGCAGCCCCTGCACATGGTCAGCCCCACAATGGTGGCCCATCTGGTGCAGGTCATCAAGCAGGAGCTGGCCGACGAGGAGGCCAAACTGAAGAAGGCTCTGAACACCAAAAAGTAAAATTTCTATATGTATTTCTTTGGAATCCTGTTAAATTCATGTTAGCCCGCGGCAGGCATTTGCTAACCTTTTGGCCCAATCAAGACTTGATGAATTTTTTGTTGTTGTTGTTTTTTGTGTTTTTATTTTTGTGGGTGGGGCAAAAGTAATCAGCACGAAAAATGTGTAAACTGAGCAAATCACTTAATTTGCCTCAAGGGCATCTTTAAGCACTTCAGCGTCCACAGGACTACGCACACAAAGGCTGGACAGGATGCTTGTACGAGCGGCGAATGCTCCAAAAAAACAGAGAGAGAGAGAGAGAAAAGCGAGTTAAGAACTTTTAAGTGAAAATGGAAATTGAATTTGCGCCAAAAAATTGCATACTTGCACAACAGAACTCACACACACACACACACATCGTTTTTGCTGCCTTTGGAGATATTTTTTGTGAGTCGTATATAGAGCGAGAGAGAGAGAGAGAGAGAGAGAGATTTCATCCAGCTGCCATTTGGCAGGTGTTTGCGTGTTTTCCTAGTTATGGGGCAAGTGTTTTCAATCAAATGTGCGCCTTGGGTAATGCCTCCTCGACCTCTGCTCCCAGCATCCACAGTCTGCCGCATAGAATACTCTCATAGATAAACATTGAGACGTGTGTGAAGAAGAAGAAGTAGTAAATGCGAATCTATGAACTGTGATTTTGTTTTGAAATTGTTTGTAGAAAAGTCTTTCGGCTTGAGTTATGTGGGGCATATTACGTATAAGCGACGGCTGGGCACATTATCTATATATCTTTGGACCGAGCAGCTTCATCATCAATTTTCACACACTTTTTACTTCAGCTTTGGCATTTAATGGCGCATGTTTATGAAATGGATTTCGTTTGATTATACATGATATATGTATATAATATTATATATTTTCTTTTGCTAAAAATAATCGAGAAATTGCGTATAGTAAGCAAAGTACAAAAATTTATTTAAATAAATTAAACTTAGTAATAAAATAAATATATTCTTCCTATAATTATCTTTTAAATATAAATTATTAATTTAATATCTGAGCTGAATAGCAAAGGTTAAGCTCTGTCAATAATTCATTTCATATTAAATACTTTATATGATTGTTAAAAATTTTTAAGGAAAATAAATCACAATAAATAAAAAATAATAAATAAATAAAATTGCATATTTGTGTCTTAAAAATAATATTAAAATTCACTTCATTTTCTTAACAGTCTTACATTAATTTTAAATTATTTTCACACTGCTTTTATATGCCTATCTTGCCTGAAAAAATCCATAAAAAAATCTAAAAATATATTTTAAATTTATGAAAAAAAAAAAAAAAAATAATAATAAAAAAATAAAATAAAATAAAAAATAAAGAAATAAATAAAAATATATAAGAAAACTTTCTGGTTTAAGCTTTCAAATTTATTATAAACAGCCTATTTATTTTGCCACAGCTCTAGATAGCCCTAAAATAATCAAATCTTAATCTTAAAGAAAAAATAAAATTAAATACTAGCAATAAATAAATAAATAAAAATATATAAGAAAACTTTCTGGTTTAAGCTTTCAATATTTATTATAAACAATTTGATTCTCTTCCCACAGCTCTAAATAACCCTAAAATAATCGAATCTTAGTCTTAAAAAAAAAAAAAAAAAAAAAAAAATTAAATTAAATACTAGCAATAATTTAATGTCAATTAACATCTCTCAGCCTTTATTACTTCCATCACATGTACATATACATATATATATATTAGTAGTACTAATAGTAGCAGTAGTAGTAGTAGTTGCAATAATAAAAGTAGAAGTAGTATATATATATATAGAAACTTTAGTGACAGCCCTCGCTAGCCCTTGAAGCTGGTCATGCCTGCCTGCATGATCTCATCGGTGAGCAGGAGGTTGCAGGCGATAATGGAGCAGGAGTTGAGTATCTGCTTCTTCACGCAGTAGTTGTCGTAGATGCGTCTCTCCTTTGGTACCATGGGCTCGCCCGTCTCCAGATCGAGTCCGATCGGCTGCTCCGAGTCCTTGGCCGCCGTCGTCAGCTTCACAATGGTGTCCTGCACATCGAAGCCGCTGTTGATGGCCAGCGTCTTGGGTATGACCAGCAGAGCGTCGGCAAACAGCTGGACGCCCAGCTGAGCCTTGCCCTTGGCCTCGGCCTTCGATTTGCTGAGCGCATTGTAGGCGAGCAGCTCGAAGGCGCCGCCGCCGGGCAGCACACAGGCATCCACAATGGCGTTCTGTATGGCATGCAGGCCGTCTCGTATGGCATCCTTGATGGTCTCGCTCTGGTGGCGCGAGGGCGCTCGTATCAGTATGGTCACCGAGGTGGGATTGCGGCACTGCTTGACGAACGTGTATTTGGTGTCGCCCAGCTGCTTTTCGTATACGAGGCCCGCATAGCCGAGATGCTGCTCGCTCAGCTCTTCGAGGGAGTGGAGAGCTTCGCCGCCACAGGCACGCATCAGGCGCTCCATGTTGCGGCGCTTGGCGCGGCGCAGGGCCAGAATGCCGGCCTCGGCGAATGCCTCCAGCGAGGGTATATCGATGCCCTTCTGATTGATGACCACGAAGCCGTTGTCATTGTCGCTGCAGAGCTTACGCTTCAGTGCGATAATCTTGGCCACGCGCTGGTCGATGAAGCGATGCTCCTCAGTGACGCACTTCTCCCGCTCCTCGGCCGACTTGTAGCAGAAGGACGAGTCCACGGAGGTCTTCTCCAGCTCCAGCGACACGTTGCACGTCAGTATGTAGGCCTGCTCCAGGCGAGTGGGCATATTGACGTGACGGCCGCCGTGGTCCAGCACCAGCCCGTCCACCAGCTGGGTGTCCATCGTCGTGTGCTGCTTGATGTCCATTAGCTCGATCATATTGAGATCCAGCAGAGTCTGGCCATCGCCGCGAATGCTCAGCACGGCGTTCACGCAGATATCGGCCAGCAGGTCGGCCAGATTCCTGTCCACTTTGGTCCTCAGGCTGGTCTGGGCCAGGGCCAGCAGCGGGTCGCGCTCGACTGCGATGGGTATGCAGAGGGACTCCAGCACGAGTTGTGCCCGCTCCTTGGCCTGCATGATGCCAGCGGTGAGCAGACGCGGATGCAGTCCGTCCGCAATCAGCATCTCCGCCTGCTTCAGCAGCTCACCAATCAGCAGCACAGTCGACGTGGTGCCATCCCCAGTGGCCGCATCCTGCGCGGTGCTCGCGCGAGCGATCATCGATGCCGTCGGATGGCAAAAGTGCATCTCGTGCAGCAGCACATTGCCATCCTTGGTGATCTTGATGTCGCCAGCCGGCGAGACGAGCATCTTGGTGGTGCCCCTCGGCCCCAGGTTGCTGGCCATCAGCCGCTGCAGGCCCGTGGCAGCCGTAATGTTAATGCCCAAGGCTTGGGAGGCACGAGCGAATTGCGCCTTTGGATTCAATAGAGTTATGCTCGCCATCGTTAAAGATTATTTATTCAGCTAAATTCGATTATATTTACTTATTTTTGTTAAGTTATTCAATGAGAAAAGCGACTGAATTTGTGTGTCCAAGCGAACGAACTCTCAGAATACGTTGAAAACACAATTTGATGTGGCCTGGCAACCCTGAGAAGGGACTAAAAATAGCCTTTTTTCACTGTTATCGATGCTTGCTTATCGATTAATGTAAGCTGAAAAACTTTTAATGCAGCAAATGCCACAGAAATATTAATAATTTCAGTTTAATAAATTAAGGCTAAAAGCTCGCAGCTATGAAACTCTTCATCGTTTACCGATTTCTGCAAAAGAGTCTCTTTCACTCACACTCAGACAAACAACTCAAAGAGCAATCATTTCAGTTTAATAAATCAATGTTAAAAGCTCGCAGATATGTAACTCTTCATCGCTTCCCGATTTCTGCAAAAGAGTCTCTTTCACTCACACTCACACACTGCTCCGTCTCTTTAATGAGCTCGTTCGCGATCGGCTGTTGTGATTCGCTCTGGTTGGTCCCCTTTCCCTTTTTCGTTTGGTGTTAACAGGCTTTGTGTATGTGTTTGGTATGTATGCGAGAGATGTGTTCGCTAGCGTACGTGAATTGAGTGTGTGCATGTGTTGGTGAATATGAATAGCGTTTGCATTGACTGTTTGAGTTATTTAGCTAACTTCCAAGTCTCAATGTGCGAACGTCAATCGCAATAAAGATTTTCAACATATAATATATTTAATAATCTAACAAATATATACAAAAAATCATTGCCTTAAGGCGGCAAAATTGTCAATTTAAATAAAAACAATTTCATATTTCGCTCTTTCAACCACGTAAGTCTGAAAGCATTTAATCAATAAAACTATAATTAAAATGAAAATGAAAAGAAAAACATCTAATCATTGTGAAGGCAATAAGAAAAATTCTCATTTTATAAATTTGCCATTTATTTTCACTCTCTCTCTCTTCGTTTGGGTTTCAATGTGGGTGTGTATGTGTATGTGTGCAGCTGTCGTGTACGACGGATTGTCCAATCAAAATCCACTTGCTGCAAAGCGGCTAAGCTGTTAATAGGAATTACTTTTCGCTGTGGCTGCCGCTGCGGCTACTGCTGTGACTGCGGCTGCGACTGCGACTGCGGCAGCGACAGCGGCTGTGGCTGTGGCTGCTCGCTCTGTCTGTGGTTCTCTGTGCTGTGCTGCTGCTCCAGTCGAACCAATAAGTCATGTCTTTATTATTATTTACAGCCTTCCTTCGCACTCGACGGCCTCGAGTGAGTGTGTGTCGAGTGCTGTGTGTCTGTGTGTGTGTGCCGAGGCGCTACTTTTTATGCTTCTTCTGGAGCTTTTCTTGATTTTGCACGCTGTGCTCAGTGCCCAGCCCAGCCCAGCACTCACACTTATCACACTTAATTTCATTAAGTAATTTTTCATAGGGCAACTTTTATTGAGTTTTTAAACTGGCAGAGCGCATAATGCTGGGCCAGTGAGAAACGAAAAGAAGAAAGAAAGGAATAACAGAAAGGCAGAGAGAGAGAGAGAAAAAGAGAGAGGCGGCGAATGGGGGAGGAAGGCAAGCAAGTGCTAGAGCATTTTGTTGAATATTACAATTGAGCTGTGCTTGGCTTTTATAACGTATACGCCATGTGTTCTTTCTTTGGCATTGTCTGGCTCAGCCTCTGCCTCGACTGCTCGCTGCTCGCTTTTGTCCTTGCAGCAGCCTTTCCGTTAGCATTTACTCATTTTACGCCTTTTGTTTACGGCCACTTGTTGCATCTGCCCATTGTCTTTCGTTTGTTTGCCTTGTTGTTCTTTCTTTTAATTGCCGTCTCGTTGTCAACGCGCTCGCTTGCTTTCAATTTTAAATCACTTTCCCTTTCAACTTTTCTGCTAACTCGAATTGAATTAAATGGAACAAAGAACTTAATTATATATCGCTTTAGGTATTCATTTATTTATTTGATTTTTTATTTTTATTTTTTTGCTAATGCATTTTGTGGTCTGTTTGTATTTTCATTTAATTTGAAATATTTATGCAATTATTTCCATTCGGGTTTTTTGCTGGAATTCTATTCCATGGCTGACATAGTGCATTAAACACCAAACTCTGCGATCTAGCAGCTCTTTTGTTTTGTGTTCCACTAAAAAAATTCATGTGTTGTGATAAAATTTCGCAAAGGCTTTTTTATTTTTAACAAATCCTGTTGCGTAAACAGCGCGGTTCAATGTGATTTTCATACCCTGTAATTGATTGTGATTGGATGTAGAGAACTTGTTGATGTCTCATACGTCTATTGATGTAATTAATTATTAACACATTTATTTTAATTATCGATAACTGCTTCAGGTGCCAACATATAGTTATCGAAAATATTATCAATCTTGTTGAGTCACCCACTTGTAGCTTATTTAATTGCATAGCTATAGGGCATCTGCTAGTCGACTTTCCTCGCATATTATGTGTTATTTACCAATTGAAATGGCATCCGAAAGGTTCAGAAAAAATGAAAATGTTTTCTGCGCATTGCATTGCTGTTCCATTTTGATCTTTTGTTCTTGTTGTTTTGTTGTTTATGAAGAAAAACGTATTTTAGAATTGAATTTTGAGCCAAATACGAGGGCATCCGTTGCGTGCATCCAGCAGCCAGCGCTTGGGGCTATTGTTTGCTGCAATTTGAACGGCAGCACAAACGAAGAAAAACGAAAAAAATGTGATGGAACAACTGGCGGCATCTGGACGTGATGTTGGCATTCCAAAATTTGAGATTACTAATTGAATTTGTGGCCGCGGGCCATCTATAGATGGCTAAGAAGCTTACACTTTATTTATTATTTATTTAACAATTTGCTATACAAATATATATTTTATTCTATCTATGCCTTATTGCTGGTTAGCCACATGATTTAGCAATGGAAGTTGCGTAGACATTGGAATTCATGGCCAGAGGGAAAACTAGGTTGATTGATATACATAGTGACAGCATTCAGGAAGTGAAATTATTATTTGTCAATAGTTCTACAAATGCTGAAAGCAACGTAAGGTAGCATAACGTAACAGTATCGTAACGTAACACGAAACGTAATGTGACGCGATATTGAGGCGACATAATAGAGCACTTTATAACGTAGCGTATATGCAAATACTTATAAGTAAAATGAAGTAACGTGTTAATAAAATATTGAATACATTAACGTGACACCAAAACCGTAATGTAACAACATAACGTAAGAAAAACATTTTACGTCATACCGAGCTACGTAAAGATATGACGTAACAGAATAATATTACGTCATAATTTAGTATTACGTAATAACAATAATAATAAAGTATTACGTAGTATTATATTACGTAATAATATAATATTACATGATAATATAACGTTTCGTTATAATATAGTATACCAATTTACGTAAAAATACAATATTACGTTATAAAAAAATGTTACGTAATAAAATAACGTAAGGTGAAGTAATATAGTAAAACATTTATTAATTTAGCGCTAGGTAACGTAAGGAAATCTAAATTTCCCCAAATCTAAGTAAAATGAAGTAACGTATTAATAAAATATTGAATACATTAATGTGACACCAAAACCGTAATGTAACAACATAACGTAATAGAAAACAGTATACGTAATACCGAGTTACGTAATGATATGACGTAACAGAAAAATATTACGTCATAATTTAGTATTACGTAATAATAAACGGAACGTAATAATAAAGTATTACGTAGTATTATATTATTACGTAATAATATAATATTACATAATAATATGTTTCAATATAATATAGTATAAAAATTTACGTAAAAATACAATATTACGTAATAATAAAATGTTACGTAATAAAATAACGTAAGGTGAAATAATATAGTAAAACATTTATTAATTTAGCGCTGGGTAACGTAAGGAAATCTAAATTGCCCCAAATCTAAGTAAAATGAAGTAACGTATTAATAAAATATTAAATACATTAACGTGACACCAAAACCGTAATGTAACAACATAACGTAATAGAAAACATTATACGTAATTCCGGGTTACGTAATGATATGACGTAACAGAATAATATTACGTCATAATTTAGTATTACGTAATAATAAACGGAACGTAATAATAAAGTATTACGTAGTATTATATTATTACGTAATAAAATCATTTTCCATGTTAATATAACTTTTCGTTATAATATGGTATACTAATTTACGTAAAAATACAATATTACGTAATAAAAAAATATTACGTAATAATATAACGTAACGTGAAGTAATATAGTGAAACATTTATTAATATAGCGCTGGGTAACGTAAGGAAATCTAAATTGTCCCAAGCTATGTATTTATGTAATTTTTCCTTATTTAAAGTAAATTTTGAACCAAGGGTCGGACTTAGTATTAAATGCGTGAACAGCAAAATTATTTCAAGTTAAACCTTTATTTTTTGCATCTGTATACATAATGAAGCCCATTTCTAACACTTGATCATTTATTCGATTAAACTTCTAGACTAATTCCAAGTCTAAGCTGGTCCTTTTCTGCGGGTCAAAGTACCGCTAAGCAGCATCAGTTTGCCATATCTTAGCAGCCCTTTTCGCACTCTCATCCCTTGATAAATGCTGATGAATTTTGTCTCTTTATATAAAATAGAAATAGACTGAGTAATACTTATTAGAGAGCTCAACAGGAGAATGCCCGACTCTCGACTCTCGGTGCATAATTAGCGCGCGCTTCCTGCGACAGCCCCTGGGTTTTGTTGGCCAGGACGACGGACGACGGACGGCGGAGTGAGATGAGGTGGGCTCATCTTTTGGGCAATTTATTGGCAAGTGCCGTGCCTGGAATAGAGCCGGTCAAACAGGGCCAGCTGGCCTGACCAATCCTCGATTGGTGGCAACCGCTGCAAATGAGTTAAGTTCAGTTTGGCGGCTGGCAAACTTTTCATAACTTTTTCGCTAAGACGATGCGGACCGTTGCGTTAATTGGAGCTGCGGGATCTGCTAAGCGCCGCAGCGCCACGGAATACAAAGTTGAACGGCGGCTGATTAAACCGTCGGGAGACCCGGCCGAAGAAGTGCGCTGTGTAATTATCTTGATGAGATTCGCTGTGACCAGTGGCAGTGGCAGTGGCAGTGGCAAGGTGACCCGAGCCCTGACCCTGGAGATGCTGCGGCGCTGCGGTGGGTTCATCAGCCGTTTGCGTCGGGCTAAATTAAGTTATGTGTGCAGTGGAACGCAACGCCTGACATGTCCTCCGCCACTAATAAGCTAAATGAAAACAAAAACGCCAACTCGAGTGACGACAAAGTAACCCAATAACTTTTAACCCGCACAATAATTGGAATTTATGAGACATCTTTTTGCCAAGCGGCGCTTCAAAGGTCCGTTGGCCCCGGCAAATCACTCACTCGGCCCGGGCCGTGTTAAGCAAAGCGCATCAAGCACCAATACAAGGGTTATGGTCATCGCCCAGCCACCTCGAGTCCCGTTCGCCCCAAATGGCAAAGTAAAGTGTTGGAAAAGCAAAAAAAATAGACAGAGAGAGAGAGAGAGAGGAAAAGTTTGCGCCAAGTTTAAGTGCTTTTAAAAAACCATTAACGTCATTTCCTGTGCTGTCTGTGCTGCGGCAACCTGAACGGCCCTAGCTGACTGGCAGATACACTGGCATGAGCTGGGGCATGACTAGGGCAGCCTCTATCGCATTTCTCTGCAACCTAATCCGAGTCCTACCTGCTCAAGTGTCAACAAAACCCATATACCCATATACCCCTCTATTGCCTGCTCACTGACTGAAAGAAAAAGGATGTGCCACAGCCTTTAGGTAGGTGGATTCCGTCTTTACTTTACGCTCGCATTGAGCTGCGTCGCTTCAATCGAATTGCTCAAGTTTTGCTGGCCCAAACGGTTTCGGGCTTTGGTGAGCAGCGTCCTTCTGGTTAATTGAGCTGATGACGGGAATATTTGCCGCTTTGGCTTGGGTCTGCGGCGGCGAGGTCCAGCAGCGCGTGAGATCTGGTCCCCTGGCGCTGCTACGGCTCAGGGTGTAGACGCTGCGATCCCGGCCAGCCGCAGCCCTCTGGGAATGATGGGAAATAGCCGGCTGCAGGGTTGTATCGGACTTTGATGGCGCAGTCTTGAAGCTGGCCGACTGCTGATCCTCGGGAGCGCACTTCCACTCCTCCTGCGAAGGAGTCTGAAGGCTGGGGCAGCGGCCAGCTGGCAGCGGCGACTCCTCGCAGCTGTGGGCGGGCAGCTCTATGGTCTCCTGGCTGGCGATGGCGGGCATGCCCCGGTGCTGCATCAGCTTCATGGGACACTCCTGGACGCACTGCCTGAAGGGTCGCTCCTCAGCCGCCATTTTGGTGATCTTCAGGCAGTTGTCGAACATGTCGCGACGCACCTTCTCCTGCTTGATCTTGCACCTCTCGCGATGCTCGTACTTGCGGTAGGCGAGCTCCGCCTTGGACACGTAGCCCGGCCAGCAGTAGTCGCGAATCTTTTTACGGCGCACCACTTGACCCTGCGGCACCATGTCCAGCTGGTTGTCGCGTCTGTAGAGCTCCGCTGCCTTGGCTATTGGGTACAGGGGTCGGCCCTGTGCCTTCGACTCCTCCATGGCCTTGGCGGCGGCCGCGAAATAGTTGAAGTCGTCATCCAAGTTGGGATCCTCAGCGCAGGGCGAGATGCGCATTAGCTCCTCCTCACGCTGCGCCAGGAACTCATCGCGCTGGCCGAGGAGTATCTTGCGCAGCTCTGCCGCCTCCTCATCCTGGTCCCGCTTCACAGAAGCCGCAAACTGCTCATTGGCGCTCTCGTTCTTGAGCCGTGAGGCCAGCTCAAAGCGTCTAATCTCTGCCAGGCGCTGCGCCTTGTCGCCGCGATGCAGCAGATATTCCTGCTCGTATTGCCGGCGCTCCTTGGCCAGTTTTGCGATCTGAAGTTTGCGCTTCAGCTCGTCCGCCTCCTCAGCCTTCTGGTGCGATTGCTCTGCCCTCTCGCGCTGCTGCTCCAACTCCTGCTGCTTGGCCCGCTGCACCTGGCAGTGCTGCTGGGCGGCTGCCGCCAGGTGGCGCATGCGCTTCTCGCGCAATTCCTTCATTTGATGGCTGTAGCGCGAGTCCAGGTGGCGATGGGCCGCCTTGTCCACGCAAATGATTCGATCGTCGACAGCATCAGCCATGGCCTCAACTGTGGAGGGCAGCGCTCGAAGGGATTAAAGGACACTTTGGGTTTGATCTCTACTTACATCTGGCCTTCTCTGCTTTCTCCTTGAGCGCCTCCTGATAGGCATTGCGGCAGAACTCGCGCCTCTTCTCGGCCAGCTCCTTCCGCTTCTGCTGCTCCTTCTCCATTATGCACTTGTATTGCTCGCGCTCCACAATCGAATCAAACAAATTCTGCTCCCTCTCAGCCTCCTTGAGCTGGCGCTTCGTCTCAATGGCCTCCAGGTATCTGCTGCGCGCCTCCTTCGCCTTGGCCAGCTGCTGTGCCTTGTCCTGCTCCTCGCTGGCGCAGCCAAAGGGTATCAGGATCTGCGGGCATTGCTGCTCGTCCAGCAGCTCCTGGTGACGCGCCTTCTCGGCGATCTCGGCATTTAGCTCGTCGTGGTATCTGCGCTGATATATCGTTTCCGATTCGATTAGAGCCGCGTGCAGACCACGCGGACCTGGCTTCAGCATGGTCAGCAGTTCATTGGCTCGCATAATGCGCTGCTTGCGCCGCTTGTCCATCAGGTCCTGCGTCTTTCTGTTCTTCGTCGCCTCGGCCAGGACCTTGTCCCTGGCCGCCAGCAGCTCCTCGTCGTTCTTGCCGGTCAGATCGCGCATGTTGGTGAAGCGCCGCTGCAGCGCGGCGTTGCCATTCTGGAGGTACTTGGCGTACCGCTGCTCCTCCGCGATGGCCTCCAGGTACTCCTTGCTGTCCCGCTGAATGGATCTGCCCACGATGCCATCGTAGCGTTCCGCCGACAAAACCACCGGCCGGAAGCCAGTGTAAGTCCTCTTGAGCTTCTTGTTCACCAGCTCTGCCGAGCAAGCCCTGTTCAGTCTCATAGTGGCACGAGTCTCTTCTGGAACCGCAACCAATTTGCAATTTTCGCGAAACAACAAATTAACAATTAACAATTGTGTAATGGTGTAACTGTGTATGTGTTAGGTGTTTTTTTTTTTTTAGTTTTCTCTTATGTTGCTTTTTATGTGTTTGTCATGTTTATGAATGTTAACTTGAGATGAGGCTACATATTTATCAGTATAAATAACTTAGATGAATCTAAAAGGTGTAACAGATCTTATGATCTTGTAGAAATTCTCTTGAAGATATTATAAATTAGCTAGATCTTAGAGATCTTACAGATTATAGAAATATTATAGATCTTTTATATCCTATACATATATAAGTCTTGATTTATCTCAGATATCTAAAAAGAACTCTACAGATCTCATAGATTTTAGTAATCTTAAATATTCTATAGATCTTAGAGGTCTTATAGATTCTAAAAATCTTACAGACCCCAAAAACCTTAAAGATTCTAATGATCTAAGAGATCAAATAGATCATATAGAGCTCATAGGATTATAGTTCCAAGACTCTGGCAGTTATTAATTCTGTCCCAAGCGTACAAGTACCAAAAGGAACTATATATCTAAATGAACTATATTACCTATTTTTGTCCTTCTACATCACATAAAGATCATGATCATAAAGTTAATGAAGCTAAATAAAGTTAATGTTAATTTGAAAATCTATTTAATTTAGGGCTGGGTAAGAAAGTCAAGTTTTACCTTTGGTTTTCTGTTTGGGATATCTTTGCTTTGGTTAGGTCGGGCCCCTCTCGAATTGGATAAACCTCAATTAGTGTTTTGGCCTGCTTAATCAAATTAGGCAAAGCCTTGGCAACGATGCCGCAGCGAAGAACGTCCAGTTCGGGTCCAAATGCTGTGAAATCCAATTCCCAGCTGGCGGAAAATTATACAAAAAAGAAAATTCAAATGAATGCGAAAGAAAAACACAGACGGCCAGAGTAAAGTTGACTTTCATGCGAAAAGTTTTTTGTTAGAATCGCTGGGCGTGATTTTCAGCGCTCCGCTCCGTCGAGGGGGAGTGGTCACAGGGGCGTGCCACGGCGGGCTTGGTGTTTCAGCTGTGGGCGTGATCCTATGCCAAACACCGGCGATTATTGTTACAAAATGCAGCGGGCCGTGTAATTTTTTTTCGGGCACGGCGGAGCACGCAGTGGGACTCGAAAAATGGAAATTCAAACTCGCTCGGGCATCCGCATTCGCATTCGCATTCAGATTCAGATTTGGATTTGGATTGAGATTCAAATAGCCCAAAAGAAGCCGCGAACTTTGCAATGGCCAGCGGGGACTTATATGGTAGGAGGGGCGGCAGAGGCGTGGCAGGCGGCGGTCGCCCTCGTCTGTTGCCTTCTGGAAATTGTTTTGTGAAAATTAGTTTTGAAACTTTTCGCGTTTGGGTTTGAGTTGGGGTTTTTCTTCTATATATATTTTTCCGTATGGAAAATGAAAATCTTAGCGCAGCATGCGAAATTAATTTGCATTTGGCCGTGCGTCAACCTTATCATTTTATTTCCTCTCTTTTTTTATGGATATTTGTCGGTCGCGTCGAGCCAATAAAAATCAAATTTAAATAATTTTTAATTTATTTAGCTTTGCCTTTTCTGTTCTTCTTTGCACTCATTCAGGAAAGTTAAATGAGTATATTGGTTTTGTGGAATGTCCATCTAGCTGTCCGTCAGTCTGTTTGGTTTTACGCAGGAATGCAAAGCATGTCGATGCTGTAAAGGTTAGAGCACATAGATTTCTGGTTTCTTGAATGATTATTATGCAGTCGATAACACCCGATTTGCACGCTTCTTCTTTTATTTACTTTCTTTTACGTGTGAGTTTGTGTTTCCTATTGGGATTTTCTTTTGCTCATTTTGCCTGTTGGCCCTTAAACGATTTCGTTGTAATTGCTTTCAAATGATTTGGGGCCGCGCGGAATGTTTGGCACTGGGGGAAAACTTTTTCATTTTGGCATTTTTGATGTGATAATATCCATGCAATGACCCTAAAAAACTGCAAATAAAAAATATTTGGAAAATTTACATTCTTTTTAAATATGTAACCAATGAAATTGTATTTCCATTGCCCAATAATAAATATAGGTTGCTTTAGTTTTATTTATTCAAACTTTATTGCATTCCATTTAAATCCATTTCACAATTCACATTATGGCAAATAGTTTTTGTTAATTTTTTTTGTAATAGATTTATTTCGTTATTGCATGCATTTTTTTTTTTCAAATATTTTGTTGGCTAAACTAAAATTTTCTTAGATTTGCATTTAACTATTGTTGTTTTTAGCTACACAACTGATGAGCTCGTGCGGCATCATCAACTCACTTAAATTCATGACAATCACAAAGTTAGGATTTGATTTTTGTTTTTCTTTTTGATTGATTGTTGTCTGAAGAGAAGGAGAAATACTATATATATGTTTATATACACATATCTCTAATTTAGAGTATTTTAATGAAAATGATTTTGAGGTAAGTGAAATCAGAATCGGAATAGTTTATACTCGTGTTAGCTTGAGGGGGAAGTCTACCATCTCTAGTAAGAAAAGTTTACAATTATTTTCTTAGATTTCTTTATACAACTTAATGGCATATTTATACAATAGATTTGCTTCATCTGGACAGTATTAAATACAGTTACCTACATAGCTACGAATTGAGTTGACAAACAAACCAAATGGAGGTGTTAAGTGAGCTTGCATTGCATTTTCATATATCTACTAATGTTATATTTATATATTACTTGCTTTTATTGAATTATTTATTTAGACAATACGCACACATATACACTTATATGACACATTTATATGATTTACTTTCTGTTTGATCTTAGCCAAAATGTATCACAAACATACATCAAATGAACACTTATTATGCTGAAACTTGTCGCATTAATTGCTTTTGCTTTTTATTTATATTTCGAGTTGGAGCTTAAAGAACTTAAATAGTTTGTAGTATATTTTCCGATTGACTTAAATTTTATCTATATTTTCGTATTTAGTTATAGCTAAGGATTTTGGAAAGAAGTCTTTGGTATATAAAAATAAGAAGGAAAGTATGTAAAACTTGTAGTAATACGAAAAGCATACAAAAATATGCTTAAAATACTAAACATATAATAAATTATATAAAGGAATCAACATTTTTCCGAAAATAAGACAAGTATGCAGAAATATGCAAAAAATACCGAGAAAATACTAAAAAAAATACCAAAAATGACCAAGCTATACGGAACTCGCGAGAAAATTAATTTCAATTGAAGGCCATGGGCCAACTAGGACGAGAAACATAAAAAAATATTCCTAAGATACTAAACATATATATGAGTATGTCAAGAAATATGAGAATAAATGTATTCAAAAATAGACCAAAAATACCATGAAAATACCAAAACATACCAGAGCTCGTCAACTTCAGCCTAGCCAAGAATGTGAACTCAATAATGATAAACATAATATGCCTTAAATACTAAACAAATATTATAAAAGTATGTCAAGAAATTAAATTTTGCCGAGAATAAGAAATATATATCAAAAATACAAAAAAATACCAAAAAAATACCAAAACATACCAGAGCTCGCCAGCTTCAGCCTAGCCAAAAATGTGAACTCAATAATGTTGATAAAAATATATACCTAAAATACTAAGCAAATATTATTAAATTATGACAAGAAATTAAATTTTTCCGAGAATAAGAAATGTATTCAAAAACAGACCAAAAATACCAAAAAATACCAAAAAAATACCAAAACATACCAGAGCTTGCCAACTTAAGCCTAGCCAAAAATGTGAACTTAATAATGTTGATAAAAATATATACCTAAAATACTATGCAAATATTATAAAAGAATGTCAAGAATTCAAATTTTTCCGAGAATAAGAAATGTATTCAAGAATAGACCGAAAATACAAGAAAATACCAAAAAATACCAAAAAAATACCAAAACATGCCAGAGCTTGCCAGCTTCAGCCTAGCCAAAAATGTAAACTTAATAATGGTGATACAAATATATACCTAAGATATTAAACAAATATTATAAAAGTATGTCAAGAAATCAAATTTTTCCGAGAATAAGAAATGTATTCAAAAATAGACCAAAAATACAAAAAAATACCAAAAAAATACTAAAACATACCAGAGCTCGCCAGCTTCAGCCTAGCCAAGACTGTAAACTCAATAATGTTAACAGATTTGTTGATTGAGAGAGAGAGAGAGAGCGAGAGAGAAAGCGATAGAGAGAGATAGAGAGAGCTACAACTTTTCAAGTTTGACTTACTGCTAGGAGACATGCACAATATTTAGACACACAGACGCACACACATACACACCGACATTTATATAGATATATGTATAACTACTTCACGGTTAGACCCAGCAGACGAATCCTAATCCTAATCCTAGAGCTCTACTTGCGAAACTCGGCCATTGACTCGCCGCCCAGGGCCATCGAAGGCGGAGGGCTGTGACAGGCGACGCGGACGCGACTCAGGCGCAGGCTGCCCGTGTGATGGGCGCCGTGCGGCGTGTGGAGCAGGGCGCGGGATTGCCCCTGCTGATGCAGTGGATGGTGTGCGCACTTGGCCTGCCGCGCCAGCTGGCTGTTGGCGAGGATGACGTCCTCTGCGTACTAAATGTCCGGAATGCTGCGCCCCGCAGCCAGCTTGGCGGCCACTGTGGAGACGGATGCGGAGCCGGCTTCATCTGGGGCAGTGCCGAGCGCCAGTTTGCTCTTGGCGCAGTTGGCGTCGTGGAATAGATGCTCGCAAAGCTTCGGCTCGGATGTGGAGAACTTGCTCAGCTCGGCGGCGGCGGTGGCTTCCTGTGCGGCCGTGCTGCCGGACATATTCAAATGCAGATCGCTGTGCTTGGTGAACGAGGTGGTCTGATGCTGTTGCGGCTGATGCACCTGATGCACATGCCCGTGCACGCCCACTCCGCCGTGCTGATGGTAGGGGAAGTGCGGGAAACTCTTCTGCATGGCATGCAAATTGCCCGAGCTGACGGTCCGCTCCAGGATCTCGCCCCAGTACTTCTCCGACAGACCCTCAATGTCCGGCCGCACTGTGGCATAGCCATCGCCGGCCAGCTG